GAAGGGCAAGCCTAAAGCGGGGGCCTGCGACTGGTCCCGCCGAGCGGGTCAGACTTGGGGTTCCTGGCTGTATCCCGCAGGCTGCGCGCCCTCCCCGGGCCCCCGGTTCTGCATTTCTGAAGAGGACTGGCCGCCGGGTACTCTGAAGACTTACTTGCGGTGCCCTCTGAAGTCCGTTCAGACCCGGGTGCGGGGCTTCATCTTTTCACCCTTTCGTTCCAAAGGGAAGGGAGGAGCTTTCAGTGTCCGTCTGCCCCTCTCTCGGGCAGGGGGGACCGCGCACCCGCTTGGCACTCAACTCACGTGGAGAACTCCAGACACTAAATATTAGATGCAGAAAGACGCATGTTCTTTCTGCAGGAGGAAAGTTGCACCCTTTGTTTTCCCATTGTGGTTAGAGTTGAAAACGGCTTATGGTTTTTGCTACAGGGGAGCCCTCCCCGTTAGAACGCGGCTTCCTCGGGCGGGTGGCTGCACAGGTGGCCAAGAGTAGGTTGTGTCCGTGGGGCAGCCCCGCCAGCTGGCACGACGTTCTCCTCCTGCTGCAGTGCGTTTTTCCTCCAAGGCCGGTCAGGCTCGGTTGGTCCCTTCCCCATGGGAGCCATTTCTTGCTTTCTCTTCTGTCAGCTTCTTTTACCAGTGACGGGAGACCTTAGTCCTAATATGTTCGGACAGGTTTGTTGTAATGTGCTCCAGTTACTCAGCTAATAGGTGTTGAACACCTCCTTTGTTCCAGGCATTAACAGTAGTAATCGTAATATTAATGATAGCCATAGCAGGTAACATTTCTTAAGTACTAAGTGGCAGGCACTTCTCTTGGGTTGCTTTGTAGCACTTGGCTTGGGCTAGTTCATTCAGTACTGATGATAACCCTATGAATTGGATGTTACCATTGTCCTTTTATGGAACTGGAAATTGCAATAGGTTATGTGACTTGTCCCAGGTGTTACAGGTAGTAAATGTGAATCTGGATTTGAACCATGGGCAGGATCTCAACCAAGGTGGAAGTAATTTCTCCACATATGGTTTCTCAGTCTAGTGGGGAAATGGACACTGGTGCAGGTGACATTACAACATATTAGGTGCTGTGCTAGCTCAGGGAATAGAGAATTGCCCTATTGTGGTAAAGATGAAGACATTCCCTTTAAGGTAGGATCTTGAGTGATAGAGAGTCTGCCAGGCTAAAGATTTGGGCACACCTGGGAATGCTCAAAAGTTGAGCCAGAATGTACATCAGGTTGAGTGGAATTAAAGGCTGG